TATTAACAGTAGAGCTCATTGTGAAAGAGTTCGTCCAGGGAAGTACTGCCAGCTTGCCTATATCTGCCGCTAAGCAGTATTGTATTCAGATTTCGAAGGGTAAGAATGCTGGTGAAATTACAGGCACATGGGACTTGTCAACTTATGTCCCAGGGCGTCTGGCGCTGTAGCAGTGCCTCATATCTTTGCGATTTTAAGGTCTGACACTAACTGTTACTGATAGGCGTGTCGCTTTCCACCAGGCACACGACTTGTTCGTCCTTTAGAATCTATGTGGGTGGTCCTATTAACCACCCGGATTTAACGTGCTCACTATGGGGATTCCAGATAAGGTCAAAACTCCGTTATAATTTAGTTGTCACACTTTTATTGTTCACTGCCAAATAGTATACGGTACAAAACAATTAGAAGATTTACACAGATTTACTTGGAACTACTTATGGCGAGGAATATTGCTTGAATCGTCCGGACCGGGCGCGCGATAAACGATGACTGACTGCGCACACGCGGAGGGCTGAAAACGTAACGTCAGCACATGTGTCCCTACAATCCCGTCACTTGACATTTAAAAAAAAATCGTTTTTAATTAAAGATTCTTTGTTGCAGACTCAACAGAACCTGCCAAGTTTGAGATGTGTGATACCAGAAGATAGGAGACAAATCGTGCGAACAGTTGCTGAAAGGTGCGTCACATCACTATTTTCTAAAGTCTTAGTAGATTTTTAAACGTTGAATATCATTTACACTATACACTAATCTTAAGTCATATAAGGTACATTATATTCAACTTGTAAACAGGTGTGCAAATATTAATGTGATTGCGTATTTGGTTTCTACTATAGTCTGTTCCAATCCATGTTGAACAAAAAGTAAGCAAAACTGTCTGGTCAAAATTCTAAAGCAATCACTCAATAAATCGAATAAGTAACACTCATGTATGCAGTGTGTTGATTTGCATTCTCGCCATATTTAAGAAATTAATTATAGAAATAATACTAAATCATCTAAAAAAAAAAAAAAAAATATTCTGATCAATATTCTGGCTAATTCTATCTAGTAAAGTTTTGCCAAATTGTCTCAAGTCGTATGCACCACGCAAGGGCAGTGACCCCGCCACCCACTTCACCGAGCGATACGTAACCTTTCTCGATCGCTTATTTACCTATTTTTTAAATTATGATTATGTACTAGTATTGCTATAATTTACTATTTATTTACATTAATTAGAAAAGTTGGCTGATTTTTTTTTTGTAACTTAGATTTGGTACTTACCAACTTTAAGTTACAAGAAAGTATTGCTAGAAGTAACTAGCTCCACAGCTCCGTACCGGAGCCACCACTAGCTTTGCACGTGGATTTCGTTTCAATATTAGACTCCACAACTTTGAAAGCAAAAACTTCCGACACTCATATCCTCCGCGTAAACTAAACGTTTCACATCATGCCATAAGCATATACCCGCACTTGTACTTGATGGATTACCATGCAGGTTCTGGTGACCTGGTAGCGGTTCTTTTTTGCATTAACTGTTGTTTACATACCAAACCACGTGACATTTCGTGACAGACTAGAAATAGAGCGTATGCGGGATGTCAGCGTGACATAAACGCAGTACGGGAAGCAAGGTTGACTGATTTGCCAATCGCGCGCTCGATACGACACTCCCCGCCGTCGCTACCCGCACCCCACCACCACCAAATAGATTTAAAGTGCCGTGCAAGTCAATGACCTTTGGATCAAATTTGTTTACCGCAATTAAATAAAATATAGAAATTTAAGAAAATTTTTTTCGATTTATTTTTTAGTGATTTGGGTCCAGTTTCGGATATAGAATGACCTCTGTAAATATGGCGAGAATGCGAACCAAGACATTGTATTTTGAAGATTTCGACTTGATATTTCAACAGTTTTTCCAACAATATTAAAAAATGATAGACCAAACGTGAGGTTATTTTTTAACTATACAACTATGACTTATCTGTGGTTGCATAGTGCTGTACGAAAGAAACATTCTGTTCATTCAATTAAAGTTTTTGTAATAGATTCGTAAATCGAATATTTCAATCGCAATCGAACGAGTATCTAAGTGTAAGGGTTTGAAGGAGGATTTAAAATTAAGATAAAACCGCTCGATTGAACAAATCGATTCATTCAATTAATCAATCTATTTGTAGTTGGCATTACAATTGGCCATCACTAAACCGTCTATGGTCGGGTCAGTGACTTCTTTGTTTACTTTTTGTTTAAAATGGATCGAAACGGAGTATATAGTCTGTATTTTTTAAAGGTGGAGTAAAATGACAATTCATTACGAAAAACTGTTGCCTGCTTGCAAGCAGGTAATTATTGCAGTTACTAAGTATTCTGTCAACTATCGACTGAATGTTAGTCATTTTATGAAATAAATGACCGAACTTGTGTCATTTGAAGCATCGTCGTCTCATTATTCATCCAATTGCTGGGCACAAGTACATTTGAAATGTCAGTTTTTGTAAGTTCATACATACATACACTGTATTTAGAACTATGTTTATGACAAATATTTGTATTTGTCATAAACACATACTACAGGAGACATATTTTAAATAGTTTTTCTTTTTAATTCAATATAGATAATCAAATCCGACTACTCTTGTTTAAATGTATAATCAATAATCTCCGTACAGAGTACTAAAAAAACCGACCTCAAAAATACGTGGAATTATGTCTATTTGCTAAGTTTTATTGAAATATTCCCTAATTCGCCATTATACAGGACTTGACGCTGGAGATAATAAAAATAGGTTCTCACTACGACACTACTCAAAGTATATTAAGAGAAAAACGCCTTGAATGGAAGAAATAGCAAAATCAACCATTAAAGTAATTGCTCCTAAATTAAAGTTAGGCGCTATTTATAAACCCACCCTTCGAGGTGGATGATTTTCTTCAAAATGACATGGGACCACTATGGAAGTACCCCCTTTCCAACAAAAAAAGAATCATGAAAATCGGTTCACAAATACCGGAGTTATCGCGTAACATACATACAAAAAAAAAAAGAACACAGTCGAATTGAGAACCTCCTCCTTTTTTGAAGTCGGTTAATAAAAATGGATCGCCGTACTTGTATGTCATCTGTCAACATATGAATAAAGAAGGCAATAACGCAATTAGTAGTCATTAGAACGTCATAACATTAATAATTTAGTCATTTTTGGCAAAATTTTATCTTCTTTCGCAACCTATCGATAAACCTATGGACAACAATTTAAAATTTTATGAAAATTGGCAACCTTGTAAATGTTATTTTACTCTGTTTTCAAAAAAGACAATTTATAGTTTCTAATTTAAAAAGATGTAACAAAGAAGAAATGGGGAAAGCTGCCTCAACAACGACGAAGATTTTTGCTAGTATAATTTTGCGCTTTAGTTTACTCTTAGTTATCAATACATTTTTGTATAATTTTAGAATAAAAAAATCGAATAAAAAATTTAAAACATTGTATTTTAGAATAGATGCAAGTACACAACGCAATTGATTCAGCTCGTTCATAGATTAGGTAACGTTCTTGTACGTACGTTTCATATTAAGCATGATTGAACGTTTACCAACCTGAAGTATTGGTTATTTTATAGTACATACATAAAACATTAAAGTTATAAAATACCTAGTAACAATAAGGAATTAAATGAAATGATAAAATTCGAAATAACTTGACGATAAACCATTTTAAAACAAAATTAAAATCAAATTTTACACTAATACTATATAATTTTACTTCTGACGATTTCTAATAATTTGTATGCATATTTTTTACTTAAACAACAATACATATATACTATACAAAGCGAAAATGGCGTACTGAGCTCAAGTATGTGGAACTCCGCATACTGTTGGCACACATGCCATGCCCACAAAGCACTGCTAGTGTGTAGTTGTGTCGCGCTACAGTTTTGAGCCGCAAACAGCAGTGGAAGCGTAACGTTACTTGCGATTCTTTGGAATATCCACAACATAGGCGTGAAACCGCAGCCTACGTCTAAGTCATAGTAAGGCGAAATTAAACCATGCAATTCCCTCGCGCGCTCTCCGTGATAATATCCAGTAGAATACTGATAGGCATCTTTACTGCGGTTTTGAAGGCTCTGCAGTTGTTACCAATACATTACTCCGTGTGTTAAAAGAATGTTTTTTCCTACAGCAGTCAAGAACCTCATGACGACAGCAGCTACGCGGCCGGTGCAGGCGATTCGGTGAGTTGTGTTTTATGCTTTATTAATTATATTGCCTTGCATTTTGAAGCTATTCTCGAGTCGTGCTGGTTAACGGCGTAAGGTAAGAAAGATATTCTGACTTCCGACGGTTTAAACCACAGAATTAGTAGAAATTCTAATTTAAAAGACTATACTGTCAAAAGTATGACAGATATTTTTTACTAAATGTAACCAAGATCTTTAACTCGATCTTCAAAAAAGACAGACTTACACTGTGCAGCGTCATCTGGCTCTACCTCATAAAATATTTGAGATTTACCAAATAATTGCTCTGTCGTCCACTAACTAAAATTCTCTTTTAAAAACAATTAAAATTAGTTGCGTGTTCGACTTATCGGAACTTAACCTGTCGATGCATAGCTGAAATATCTTTGAACAATTTCAATGTTCCAAATTGGGTTATTGTTTTTTTATATCATCTCAAGAAAATATTTTGTCACTTTGCCGCATTTTAGTTAGCGGACGACAGAACTAACCTAAATGCACTATGGGTGACGAATGCAGCCGTTCATGGACTTGCTAGTATAGTTTTACGTTTTAGTTATTCCTAGTTATCAATATATTTATGTATATTTTTAGAAGTAGGGAATAAAAAAACAATGTATTTTAGAATAAATGCAAAAACACAACTCAATTGATTCATTGCGACCATAGATTAGGTAACGTTCTATTAGGTACGTTTTATTCTAAGCATGATCGAATGTTTAGCTACCTAAAGTATTGGTTATTTTATAGTACACACATGTAACATTAAGGCGATTAACACACTGCACCGCGCCCCGCGACGGAGCGCGGAGCTGCGTTTTTTAACGTTGTACCGAAGTACCTCAGTTCGTATGGAAAAATGGCACCGTCGAACACACCGACAACGCTTCTTCGGCGCACGCGCTATTACCGCGCGAACCGCAGTGCATTGCACACTGCGCTTTCCAGTAATAAAAAAAAGTAATTGCGTCTATTCCAGTAATTGTCGTTTGGATTTTCCGTAACAAATAATCAAAGGATTCAGTTGACATTCGTGTGTAAATCTTTGTAATGAAGTTGAATGTTATCTTCGGCCTCTTTTTATTTGAGTGAACAAAAACCAAATCGACAGTATAACTGCAGCGTCCTGAATGAGTTCTGTATTATTAACCATTCTTGTCAAAGAAGGATCTCAGCTACATGACTGAACAATCACTAAGGCGATCAACTACGAAGCGACTACTTTAAGTGGCACGGTACGGCCAGACCGCTGCCCGCTGCCCGCGTCCCGCACACCGTCGCGGGGCGCGGTGCAGTGTGTTAATCGCCTAAAGCTAAAAAATAACCTAATCAAATAATCAATTAAACGGTAATGACATAAAATAAAAATTAAAAAAAAAAACCAATTGCAGTGGAGACTGCGGGGACTTGGGGTGCGGAGGCCAAAGAACTCATCAGGGGTTTGGGTCTTCGGCTTAGAGAAAGAGGCTATGCTCCACGCTTTGGATCTTACTTGGTGCAACAAATTTCGTTGGCTATTCAGCGCGGTAATTCTGCCAGTGTTATGGGGCCGTTTAAACCAGCTAAGATTCAGAGCGGTCCCGTTTCATTTTTATAGTTAAATAGAAATGAGTAAGTCTAGCGAATTAAATTATAAATATAATATAAAAAACAGTGTGACAAAAATGTTTAGACAATATTTAAATGAGAGATAAGAAAGTTAGCAAAGGAGCGTTTTGACAAGAGGCCTTTTGCCAATGTCAATGTCACATTGAGATTGAGAACAGTGTGACCATTTGCCGCAGATTTCTGCCATTTGGGCAGAATTAATTTTTGTTCATTTTCATTGCGGCAGAACATGTTAACGTTGTATTAAATGTGCCAAAGTTAGACAGAGTTGGGAATATTTAGCAAGTTATCTTTATTATTTTTGGGAACAAACAGAAAACTTGCTGTTTGACGCGAGTGCTTGAATTGATACCTGTTTCAAAAATAGAATTACGAGTGTAGCGAGGTTTTCAAGACTCAAGAACAACTTTGCTGATGAGCGAAACACTACTCACTATAGCGGGTAAAATGGTAGATGAAAGAAAAACAGTTGAACTAAAACAAATCAGTTTTAATAAACAAAATTAGTTACCGTTGTCAATTTAACGCCAACAATAATACTTTAACATAAAAAATATAACATAATAATTGATTTATATTATAATAAAAATATAAATCCGTTGGTATATTTTATTCTTATTTATTTATGTAATCATAAACAATGTATGACAAATCGCGTAGTTGAATTTAATTGCACCACAATCCATTATCAAGTTCGAATTTCAAAAACCTTTTCCATGCTAGCGTGGAAACAACGCTCTGTAATAACGCGCAGATTTGTAATAAGAAAGCTTTTCCGAGCTAGTGAGGTGAAAATCGAATTTTCTCATAGTTGGTACCAGGCTTATCACCATTCGCACCCCTTATGGAAGAATGGCATAAATGGAATTACGTAAAACATGTTTATTGCTCCATTAGATACAGAAAAATATAACCCACATCCTCTCCAATTGGGGCTGTATTTTTCTGTATCTAATGGAGCAATAAACATGTTTGACTCATTTCATCAAAATGAGGGGTGCGCTATTTGGCTAGTGCCGCATAGTTTTTTTTCACACAACTCACTTTATTTAATGGTGCGTCTGTATTTAATGAACTCATTATTCGTTGTGCTGCTCAAGGTGTTTCAAAATTACAATAAATATTATATTTTGTCTTTAAAACTCATGGTGTGAAGCCTTTTCCGGTCTGTAACCAGAGACTTTCCTGGTTAATCACGTTAACTTTTATCACTAGTGAGTAACCACGAATCACTCGAAAAAATAGCGAGGAAAATGAACTGTCAAAAAAAGTCGTACCGTGGGAAAAGGTCCGTAACTGGTGGTAGGTTTATATATAACCAAAATTATTAAATTGTGTGCAAATACCCTATGTTATATATAGTGTTATATATTTCATTAAAAATAGTCTTACTTCTATAAACAGCGTTTTCAAAATTCAAAGTGTACTTAATGTAAAGGCATGTGTAATGATCAGAATTCCGGATTTATAAAAATAAAGCGACAAATGTGTTTTGTTATTTTTGGTGAAACAGCTTTTCAGGATCAAAAATATCTCCCAAAAACATGATGTGTTTTGTTTGGCTTTAAGTTTTCAGGCAAAATTTTTCAGCGCGATGTGAGATCTTCACTTACACCAGCACGATGCATAACCTAAAAGAGCTTTCGGATATCGCATGAGGGAAATTTCTGGCTTCTCGGTATTGGTAACAAAACTATTAATAAAGCAGACAAGATTAGCAAAGAGGCAGGTAGCTTAGAAGTGACGAGTGTAAAGAGTTTTCTAAGAATTAATATGTGGCCAAATAGTGCCTTGCTAAAATATTCAGCGAGGCACCTCTGGATGTGTATCAGACCAACTACTAAGATCTTCGGACCCTAACCACTCAAATTTAGTTTGTCAAATTGAATCTGTCGGGAATAAAACCTTTACGACATTTGAAGTATATGAACTCGACCAAAAAGTATGAGTCAAGGTACTAGATTGGCCACAAAACTAGATTTAGATGAAAAATACCGATACCAGATATTTGTCTGCAGAACGACCGAGAAACTTGTTCCTGCAAACCCAAGAAGCCCTGGGATCACGCCGAAACCGCCTCCGAAAGAAGTTCCACTCCGTCCACATGCAAAATGTGTTCGGGTGAACGCGACGAAAGGCCCGAAGATAAGTCTGACTACGCCAGGTATTCTAAAAAAGACAAAATCTTCGCAAAAGCTATTACAGATATTATAAGAAGGAAATCGGGCACAAGCAAAGCTACCGATCTCACCAGCAAGAAGTCTGACTATAGCAAGTACACTGATACTGTTAGCAAGAGATCAGAGAATATTAATAAAAAAATAGAATTAGTTCATAGGAAGGTTTTAGTGAAAAAAAGCGAAATTACATGTGATTTGAAATATAGTGACTTCTATAGTGACAATGAAGATGAGGCCGACGAGACTAACAGACTTATTCAATCGAGAAATTCTGATTATATGGACATTGTAGACGAAAATTTAAAGATAGTTGTAGCGTTAGCAGGGTATCCCAAATCCAAGATGAGGTTGCGTCAGATGGAAAGGTTTCAGAAATGCCTCTCAGATGTCATTGAAATGCAACTAAAGGCTGGTCTTCTAAAGAAAACTCCTTCTTTTCTTGACTATTATATAAATAGAGGAGCCATAGTGTGCATTTGCAAGGACTTGGATACTAGGGATTGGATGGTCCGTATTTCACCAGGTCTTCAAGAACGTATGTGCATAAATTTAATACTTCTTAAAGCTAAGATGAAAAGACTTTGTTTGGCTGTTTTGAAAATACCACATTCTTCCTGGCCTGCCTCTGCACAGGACGCTTTCAAGCTTTTGCAGTATTTTAATCCGACTTTAAAGACGGAAACGTGGAAGATATACTCTCAAAAGACAATAGATGATGTGGAATGTACGTCGTTCTTGATTGATAGGGTTTCCGGTGAAATTATTAGAGGTCCGACATTTAAGAATGTAATTGATTATGATCAAATGGAGTTTGAGTTGATTGGTTACACTGAGATTTATTATGAATGCTTGCTGTCAGATTTAGGGGCAGATGTGTCAAGTGTAGCCTCGAGAGTTAAACTCTTGGGAGAAATAAAGTCAGAAGAACCAACGCCTCGTAATTTATCACAAGTTAATCTGCAGAAATCTCCTCTGAATGATGAGGAAGACAGTTTGTTTAGGGTCGACAACCAAGAGAAAGAACTTAAAAAAATCGAAAAAGAATGTGATGTTGACGAAAAATTCCAACTTGAGAACACTTTGCAGAAAGATGTATTGAAAAAACTTAAAGATGTGGAATATATAAGCGATAAAGATGAAGTTATCATTTGGTCTGATGAAACGAATTATAGCGATCAGGTGAATGAGAAAAGTATAACACAGAATTACGAAGAAGAGATGGAGGAAGAAAGAAAGAACGTTATCTCTACGTATGGCGTGGCAACTTCGGAGAACACTGAGTCTGTAATTGAAAGCAATGATAATTTGACGATTAGTAGAAACAGTAACTTAAACATCGATAGTAACAGAGGCATTGCCTATCATAGACGTACAAACTACCTTCACGTGGAAAATGAATTGAAAATTGCTATAACACTAGAAGGCTACCCACAGAACAAGTTAGAAGGTACACACATTCGTAGATTGAAACACCTTTTTAAGGAGTGCCTTCACAAAGACATGAAAAACCAACGCTTTGCCAATTTAATAATACCTAAATTTCAAGACATTTACTTGTCTAACGGAGCTGTTATTTACATCTGTGACAGTATGGAAACTAAGGATTATTTATCTGAAATTTTACCGAAATTCATTAATTCTACTGGCTTGAAATTGACATTCAGAGATATTAAAAGCTTAGTGCGTTACACGAGAATCGTCATGCGTCTGCCAAAGGAACATGCCCACGTTGAGTCTGTCGAAATCTTACTGAAATTACAAGCAAGGTACCCTGGTTTGAGACCAGATTGCTGGAAGTACTATTCTGATGTTGCCGGTAAGCAGAAGAGACAGTTTGGTGTCGATCCTGAATCTTTGGATGTTATGAAGAGTCCAGGTTTCGATCCGACCTACGAAGGCGACAAAATAAGCTTCCGAATCATCGACAGGCAGAAACCAGACGTCAGCTTTGAAGAACCAATGATTCTTGATATGGATTTGGGCTCTTCTGATAACGTAGACGTTAAAAAGTTACGAGAAACGATCTTTAAAATTATGTATGTTCCGATAGACCCCGAGATTATGAACTCTCCGCTGACTAGAATAAGAACGAATCATTATTCAGACCTGATCGCGGACGATTTAAAGCTCTACGTTGGGCCTTCAAATTATCCAGAAAGTCGAATAGATGATGCGCAGTTTTATACTATAAAACGATCTTTCGAGATCATTGTGCTCGAAGCTTTCGAAAAGCGTAATATGACGGAAGAAACGATGCCTAAATTCCACGATATGTACTTGTTTGATGGAGTAATTTTCATCATCTGCCTAAATATGTCCTCAAGATGCTGGATTGAAGACTCCTTGACCACCGTAAATGCTAAACTGCACAGTCATCTGAAAGCTACTGAATTCCGCGGTGCGGTCGGAATAATAAGCATGGTTGTGAAAACAGACAAAGATACCGATGAGGTTATATCTATTCTGCAGAAGCAAAATCCGCGGCTGCGCACTAAATATTGGAGGAAAATCAGCACTGTACGTACGAAGACTAAACTAGATGTGGTCTTGCAGATAGACAAGTTGTCAGCTCAAGTTATGACCAGTCAGAACTTTAACAAACTGGTTGGTCCCAACCCGGTTTTGTTCAAATTGGGACATTTGCAATCATTACTAAAACCGAAGGCAAGTTTAGAAGAACTGTGCAAGATGCACGCTAAGAAACTGTCAAAGAAATGTAGCGACGTCAAACTACCCGAAAAATCGCGTAGTAAGGTATCCATGCAAGGACCTAAAGACATGACCTTCGAAGAGTTAAAGGCGGAGCTAAAGAAAGAATATCCGGCGTTGAAAATCGAGGACTGGAGTATTATTTCATTGCACGAAAAAACCAACCACCAAGTGTGCGATTTAGAAATCGATGAAGAATCTGCAAAGATAATCGAAAAAGAAGACTTTAAACTTTCTATGGGAGACAGCAAATTATTCTTTTATACTGGTATAACATCTAAAACTACTCCTCGAGACCATGTTGGTCTAGATAAAGAACCCCAGTCTCCAAGAAAGGATATGCCTTTATCCCCAATGCAGAACGAAAATGATTTAAAGAAAGTTATACTAAAGATTCCTATGAATATTTTGCCTGATAACAAAGATGATTTGAACATTATTTTCGATCTCCTCGAAGACAAGAATCCCGGTTTAAATACAGAACTATGGCAGGTATCCACTGATTCAGAATACCCGAATAATGGTAAGTTCATCATTTTGGTTGACAAGCAATCAGTCTCGGTTATTCTGGGAAAAAGTTTCGATCCTACCATTGGTGGAGAAAAACTAAAGTTTTTCTTTTAACTGACTGTTCTGTATGACTTGCGACTTATTGAATATTTCAGTTAGACCAGGTGAGATGGAGGTCAAATGCACACTTACATTAGAATTAAAATTTCTAATGACGATTGTCTTAGTATTGCTTAAAAGCGTTGTACTTTCGTCGCAATGTGCAGGACAGCATTCATAAACATCATAAGTACTTACGTGGATTATTCTTGTTTTTATAGTGTGTGTGTGTGTGCGAGATATTCATTGTATTATGTAAAGAGCATTTAATGACATCAAAGGAAAATAATTTAGGAAAAATAGTAAAAGTGTTGTCTAGATACTAATTATATAATTGTAATAACTACAAGATGCTTTAAGGCTTACTTACGTGTGTCAGCTGATAGATGATAGGGCCCGTAGCTATGTTAAGATTTGGAATTTAAAATTGAAATCCATTAAGCTATTTCGATCATGCATCTTCATAAGTGATGATAACCTATATGTACGTGCCAATACGTCTTCTTACTTGGAAACGCACTTTAAATGAGACCTTTCTGCCATGAGTACAGCTGAGCGTACAGTTGAATGTACGTTATCTAGATTTAAAGCAATATACCAGTACTTGCTTACAGAGAAACAGTGACTTTGTAATGTAATGGTGCAAATAATGAGGAATACCCAATTTTATGTCGGCTAAGGTACTCGCGCGCACGAGTATAGTCATTCGATATAACTGCCAATGTAAATGTATTGCAAGAGAGCGTGTAACAGTTACAGTAATTGAATTTGATGCCTAAGACTACACTCAGCGACGTGTATAAAAAAAAACCACGCCACATGCTTTCTTGCTACAAAATTCACACCGTCTGAACTCGTAACGTCGGGATTTTATGTCTAACACTTGTTTAACTTAACCAAGAAGACTCGCTCGTGAACATGGAACTTTTTTAATATATGCTCCTCGTTTGTATTAGATGCGCGTAAACACCTCAGATGTAAATGGTTTAACGTGTTAAAACTGTGAACTCATTGCCACGCACGTTTATGCTACGTTATGCATGCTGTCTCACTTTGTAAACCTAAAAATTTGAAAATGGTCAATACTCACGATTCTCACATATTGTGTCATTTAATGATATCGTTTATGGGTTCGAAGCGTGCGTAAGCAATAAACGAAAAACGGCTTCATAGAAAACCTTCCTCATTATTAAGCATCACTTTTATCAACCAACATAGGTAATCAATCGTTTACAAGTATCCGATTAGCACAAGGTAAATTCTACCGCATTTGCATAGGTTTAGTGTTCATTTTGCACGCATTGGTTACCTGGTTCGGTCGCTGCTTTTATCGTACAACACATTGGCCCTTAAATATCCCCGGAATAGACTTTTAATTTTTATTTCTTTACATTAGTTTTTAGGGTAGGTATTTTATCAGTGTACTTTTGACTGTGTAGTTTGTTAGTCTGTTAGTATTTAACTTATTTAATTTAATTAATTTCCGTTTATGCGGCTAATGTTCCTTTAGATTAACGTTTTGAATAAAATATGAATTTCATCTTGTGTTCTTATTTTTTGTATGATTATGTTTATTTGCACACAAATTATAGAATTGTGCTGCGGTAGGACCTGATAATTCAGAATTGTCTCTCTTCTTGCTAAATATATCTGAACGTTTGCGGTCTGTATCCGTGCACCATAGGAAGAGACCCGTCTGTCATAGCGCAGACACGTCTGTAGCGGTGCATTAAACATAGCGATAAATTGGATGGGCCGGTGCACGGCGCTCGGTTATCATTCTGTAATTGTAAGTGGTCCTCGACCGTGCGAGGAAATCTATAAATCAAAGGTCGTTAAGATCATAATGCTTTGAGAAGAACGTTGTCCGCCCACTGTGGTATGATTATTTTCTCGCTACAGACTCTGTCAGAAATTATCGGAATGGGACAGCGATATTGCGCTCTCTCTTTCCGCTCTCCCTTTCCGCTTACCAGTAGGGCCATATTTGCCATTTGTGTAAGCGCAGGGCCGTGGATTGCTGCAGTTGATAAATGCAATCGACATCTTTTGTAGATGACGTTTAATTTTGTTAAAAGATTTCGGTTCAGGTCCCATTTACAAAAAAATACAGTCAGTTTGGCTGCTTTTTTCGTAAATGGGATCACTACTGAGGTACCATCTTTCGAATAATAAATAGTGCCAGAAATGGGATCACTACTGAGGTACCATCTTTCGAATAATAAATAGTGCCAGACGCTGTACCAACTAACCCATGGAACGAACCAGCAGACCTCACCAATTCTTGTGCTTGTTCATGTGCTTGTGTCGTATCTTTGTATTTGGTTTTTCAACGACTTTTTAGCCGTAGCGCTATAAATCTAGAAAGGTATGCTAGAAGACGTCGGTTCGAAACCGGCCGGATCGAATGAATTTTTTCAGAGTGTTCGATCTTTGTATTAGTAATTATAACAAACTAGTGGAGTAATTTCACATAAAAATAATTGAATATCAATTCAATAAAAAATTTATTTACTACATTTTATTTTATTTTATTTTTATGTTGCGATATGAAAGTTTGTTAGTATACAAACTCACGGATGCTAAGTATTGCTATTTTAATTACCTACGAATAACCACGACATTCGACATACATTCCTTACTTAGCCCTATTAAAAAGAAACACCCAAATAGATATACATAATATGTAACACCATTTATCGTTAAGATTTACAAAATACAAATTAACCATATTTTGTATTAATTTGCGATTATAATAATTTAGTTACATTATTTTAAGAAAGTTTAACATCTGGCAACGATTCTGACATTAAAACACATTAAACAGTGTTATAAAGCGGATTTCAGCGAGTGTGTGCTTGTGTTTTGATAGGAGCGCGTAGATTTCGTGAATGAAACCCTATCCGCAGTTCCACCGGCTTACCTCGCGCTGATTGGTGGAGATGCATCGGGAATATAGTTTTTAAATATTTTTATTACACATACACTACGTATTTATATTTAATAAACCAGATGCTATATGAATGACGCAAACATTTTTTTTCTTCATCATATAAACTTGCCAAAATTGAGACAGTACTAGTTGCCAGTTAACAGTCATATGTTTTTTAAGTGGTGGGGTATGCGCGCTGTTTAGTACAATCTTTAAAGAAGAAAATTTTAGACAAGCCGGTGGGAGTCGTGTTATATCGTGTCTCGCCACTGGTCGCTTTGAACACAATTATTTACCACTGTAGGATTTGTTATAGAACTAATAGTTAAAAGCCTTAAACACTCATGCTTGGAAGTTTATTATACAAAACAAGTAAATTAAATCCATTTGGTTAAAACACATTGGTGGCAGCTTAAAATTCCCGGACTGCAGCGTGGGTCGCGACCCTGCGTGTCGTGCGCCAAATTGACTGATGCATTCTGCGCGCGTTGCGGTGTGACACCATATTGTTCTCCGGGGTGCCAGAGCCGTGATTGGACGCTGAGACACCGCAACGTATGCCATAACCTTGTTAGGTAAGTTGCTTTGGTATTTTTAATTTATTTTAGATATTCGTATAGAGTCTTATACTCAAGGCGCGGGCGCGGCGGCCAATGCGGGTGCGATGTTCTTCCCATTCACTGTGCCTAAGCGGCTACGAGCTGGTACACCCACACGTGAAAACCGCGAACAGACGCTTAACCAAGCTCTGTCAAAGGTATGGGCGGACTGAGCCAATAGATCCACCCGCCACGAGGCCGGCGCTCGCGATCACTGAACGCAAGGAGCGTCTACGTACGTTTGATTTACACGCACCCTTGTCCTCCGCCACTTTGAATAATGCCTTAGTAGCAGTAGAGCTCCTTGTGAAAGAGGTCGTCCAGGGAGTTACTACGCTGCCGGTTTTGAAGGATAAGGATGCTGGTGACATTACAGGGACACGGGACTTCGCAACTTATGTCTCAGGGAGACGGGCGCAGTGGCTGTGCTTCTTAGAACTTTGCTATTTAAAGAGAAATTTAAAGATTTAAATCTCTGGTAGCCGCAGTCTAAGCCTAGGGAGTGGCGGGGAGTTACCTTTTTCGTTACGTTTTGATTATCTCACTAAGCTAAACCGGGGGACAGGACGGCAAAATTTGGTATATCAATTGAAATATTAGTTTTTTTATAATAATAACGCACACACTCAACATTGCCCCGCACTAGGGAAACCCTGTGTCGCGGGTGCCATGGACACACGCATAGACAACCGCAAATTACACCCAAACTCACGAGAGAAATAAATGTAGGCCATACACATATTTCTCCTGGACTGGGAATCGAACCCAGGACCTCTGCATGGCAGTCCGGCATGGTAACCAACCGTTCGGCCACGGAGGCTCCGTCCTTCAGTACTCCGAGACTATCGGAGTATCGCAGCGCATTTCTGTCTGCGGTATTGAGGAGCATGCATAGGGAATCCATCGGTTGCGCTCTGCAGTACGGGCGCTCGCTGGTATTCAATGTTTTTAACAAATAAAATTTAAATATCGTATTAGTAACGTATATATACTTTTAAAATGAAACAATGTGTTCTTAACACACTAACTGAATAGCGTGCGGTTAGGTATTAATGTGGTGGTAGTGCTTGTCTGTAAATGTGTGAGTGGTGTTGTATGCAGCAAATACCAACCGCCTGCTAAGCATTAAATTATGGTAAAGTTAAGATAAAAATGTAAACTACCCTATTAAACCTAACGGTGAGACCTCAAGAGTGGTTCCAATGAATTTATCTAATAGTGTAGCCCTACAACCTAACGGTGTGTAGCCTAACCTAACCATAAATATATAGACGGAGAAATGTATATGCAAGATGTGAAGGGGAACTCTATCACCAGAGACCTAAGGTGATAAACGGAAGGAAGCAGACTCAACACCGATCTACTGACGGCTAAGGGTGTGTTGGCTACAGTGAGAGTTACTAAGCAGAGTTAAAATCAGATGGTAGCGGATAACTGAGTATATTTACAAATCTTATTACTATTTATACAATTTTATATTATAATCCAATAAATAAATACTTCTTTAAAAATAAACCGAAAATACAAATAGGTTTTGAAAAAGCCGTTTCCCCTGATCTCGCCCACGCTAATCTCATACTTTTTCTTCTTTTCAATCCCAACAATACTATTTATTGTCGCCAAATTGGCATCTTAATATACTGCAATGTGATAGTTATTGCAACAGTTTATTGAGCGCGTAATTAGGCCGTGGTAGCCTAGTGGTTTGACCTGCTGCCTCTCAAGCAGAAGGTCGTAGGTTTGGATCCGGACTCGCACATCGGAATTTATGTGCGAAATTTTATTTGAAATTTATCATAAGCTTTTCGGTGAAGGAACCTGCACGTTGAAGAAGGTTCACAACCTTCGGAAAACGTGTGAAGTCCCCAACCCGCATTGGGCCAGCGTGGCGGACTATGGCCTAAACTCTTGACTTGAGACCCGTGCCCAGCAGTGGGACATATAAATGGGTTGATGATGATGTAATTAGGCAACGTAATTTCCTTAAGATTTGACCCCAATCTTTGTTTGCAGAATGGCCCGTTCGGATGACGTATCCACCGGAACCGCTGATACTGTGTAAGTAATGAACTTGAATGAATGGACGAATGAACTTTAATGAATGAACGAATGAACGTATGAAATATTCTAGGTTGCACTTAAAATTACAGTTAAAATACAATAGCTTAAATCTAATAGTGGTAAGTCAATGTGCAACAGGCGGCCTTATTGCTGTGTAGCTATTTCTTCCAAGCATACTTATGATAGACATTTGGGATATGAAAAACTTGTTAATTTACTGTAAGATAAATAAAGTAATGATTTTTCGGAGTAATAAAAAAAGCCGTGGTAGCCTAAGCGCCCAGTTACACGCGGAGAAAGTTAATGGCGAATCTGAATTTTATTTACTAGACAACAACATTTAAATTCCTCTGAATAATACAACCGCGCGGGCCGCCGCGTACACCAAATTCAAGCCAGACTCGCCCGCGTGCCCGGACGCACATGACAGTGAGCGCGATGGAATTCGTGTCCAATAAATGCGCCTTAAGGGTTTGAGCTACCACCTCTCAAGAAGAAGTCGTGGATTCGAATCCGGGCTGTACGATATTTAATTTGCTAATTTGGTATGAAACCTGCAAGTCGACGAAGGTTCACAAATCATAACCCTCGTAAATTGAAGTCTCCAACAAGCATTGGCCAAGCGTTGTGGACTATGGCCTGAGAGGAGACCTGTGCCCAGTTTATACTTTCAAAAATAAACTCACAGAGCTCATTTTAATACTGCAAAATTCGCTTGGAGAAATTTTATTTATGTAACGCGCAGCGAAACACAAAATACGTGAAGACGTGCGAAGACGCTGTAGGCATATCGATGCCACTTTCTCAAACTCTTGAGTGTAATTATTCAGGAGATGTCAAAACTTTTTATTTATTTTAAGTTTCTTATCAAGGGTGTTAATTTGGTTGCATTACTTTAAGAATAGGTAAAAGCCAGTGTG